GTGTTAGTACGAACAATCAGGTTTAGTAGAGAGAACAATGTAGTCTCGACCAGTATCACTATTCCAATGTCTTGCGACTCTGTTTCGGACTGCCTCTGACTCGACTCTTGTCTTGACTTGAACTACTGACGATATTCAGTCACCCCCGCCCACGAGGGTGTCATGTGGCACAAGGCCTTTTTAACGTGGGCATTCCGAGCCCGTGGGCTCGGCCAAAAATATGCCCATTGAACCCGTATAAACGGGTTCAGGGCCGGTTTACCTCCCCGAAGGGCCCTTCGGCGTAGCCTCCTTCGGGTTCCTCCCATCTGTAAGAAGGTACAAGAACAGTCGCTCTCTGTCCCTTCGGCGAACTACTGACTCAACTGAGGATATTCAGTCACCCCCACGAGGGTGTCATGTGGCCCTTTTTAACGTGGGCAGCGATTCTCAAGCCATTCGGGCTCGGCCAAATAATAGCACATTTGAACCCGCATAAACGTGTTCAGGGCCGAGGTTTCCTCCCATCTCCGCCCTTAAGCGTAGAGGAGTACAACTGAACAGTCGCTCAGAAAGTACTGGGTCCACTGACTCGACTTGAACTACTGACTCAACTGAGGATATTCAGTCACCCCCCCCCACGAGGGTGTCATGTGGCACAAGGCCTTTTTAACGTGGGCAATTCTCAAGCCATTAGGCTCGGCCAAATAATAGCACATTTGAACCCGCATAAACGTGTTCAGGGCCGGTTTTACCTCCCCGAAGTAGACTCCGCCCTTCGGCGTAGCCTCCTTCGGGTTCCTCCCATCTGTAGGAAGAGAGTACAACCGAACAGTCGCTCAGAAAGTACTGGGTCCACTGACTCGACTTGAACTACTGACTCAACTGAGTCTAACCTACTGACTGAGGCGCAGTATTTATTAAGTATGGAATAGTCCATTATTATTACTATGGGTAAGATCCCATAACAACGAGCATGTGGAATAACAATGAGTAATTTGAAGAAAGAAAAAATTTAAATAGCTAGGCAGGCCTGTCTCGTACAGATGTGAAAGTTGTCAGTGTTCGGTTATAGATGTCGACGAAGAAGGGTGTCGCATGATTAGGCAGAGTTTGTTTCTCTATTGTATATTTTTACTTATGAAGGGGACAAGCGGCATTCTAAGAGAGAGAGAAAGCGGTGAGATAGAGGGGAGAGAGTGCGCAGCGAAACCAACTGCTTTCTAAATAAATATGGTTAGATTATTAATAAGTATAAGAGTGTGGAAAAAATGTGTTACGACGGAACTTTCTGGTGGAAAATAAATTATGAGATACAGAATAAAAAAATAAATAAATAAAAGAGAAACTACCACTTCTGTCCAAGTAGTCAAAAAATATGATTAAAACAGAAAAGATTAATAATGAATTACTGTCGTCTATCGAAAAAGAAAGCACAATTCAATAGCAAAATGAATCACTAAAAACAAACAGAAAAAAAGAATGCTGAACGAAGATACAACTCCAAACTGTGGTAACAAATGCCGACCTTACATAGATAAGCGAAATAATTAATGGCAAAATAAGACTTTAAGAAACTTAAAAAACACACAAAGAAACTACCCCTGAAATACGAGTATCTATCTAAAAGTTCCGCTTCCCAAAATCTAACCAACTGACCAAAGCTGCTATGTTGCAAGTCTCGTGATCTATAGCAAATTTTTCAGGTCCCAACGCTGTATCACACACTGAATGAACTACGGACAATCTTCTCAGGTTTCCTTTAGTGTTTTATTTAATCAGGAGACACGATAATAGTAGCATAATTTCTTGGAGGAAGCAAGAAGGAAAGAAGGAGATAGACAAGGCGGATGTCAAAAGGTCGACTACCGGCACATCACCACATGAACTGTCTCACTCTTCCATTGTTGCAACCATATTGTCTTTCGTTTGCTTTAAAACTTAAAAAAAAATCCATCACTGTCAGATTTCTGCGACCGAAGTTTTAGAGCCCCACGACTAAGTTCTGGTCTCCCAAGTTCTAATCGGTATGATCAAAGTTTGTTATTTTTAACTTACCCTATGCATTCTGTAACGCCTCAAAACTTCTAAGTAATCTCTTGGGAAAGTATATATTTACCCCCCCCCCTTTTAGAAGAATCAATTTAAAAAAAAATAGCCAGGTAATATAGATTAATTAAGACATCATCATTAAGTTAACCCTTTCAATCCTAATGGGTTATATAGATTTCAAAAATATTTTAATTATGCCTGTTGCTTGCTGTTTATTATATATTTGTGTTTTACATGTAAAACGCCGTGTTTTAACTGTAAAGAGAAGTACTTATTGAAGTTTTAATGAGTTCGTTAATATAACTGAACACTTAATATAACAATACTAAAAATGTTGCAGTCCAAGTGAACTAATTGACAACTTGTAAAACAATGGACAATTAAGAAACTCGAAATCAATATCACTCAGCGTAGTAGTAGCTGTAGTACAGTTCTTCGTGTCCTGAATAGCAACCGGGTTTGATAAGCATATCCAACCTATATTCAGCAGTTGTTCTCTATTTATACTTGTCTATCTAATTTGCATACAATACTACACCTCCCTGAATCGGTGAGGTCGTATACCCTTGTCTTTTTCTTTTACTATTCCTGATTATTTTTGTATTGTGTTGCTCTTCCTCTTGCCTTCCTTGTTTTCCCTTTAATGGTGATCTCGGCCTCTCTTCCTTATTCATACTCGTCTGTCTTTTCATTTTCACTTTCTTCCATTTCTTGTTCTGTTCCGCTTATGTAACTTCCTGTCTCTCCTTGATCTTGATCGTCGATTACCACGTCATCCAGTTCGTTTCTGCGTCTGAACTGATCTGCATGTGTCAGTATATGTTGACCCTTTTTCTCAAGTATAGCCGTGTTGTGTTCTTTTTTGCATCAAGAAATTTGCTTCTTGTGGATCAACCTCTTCATTCTTTCTATACCATACCTTTCCTTTCGTTGAAAAGGACATAGTTATGGAGGCGGGGCTATGATTTCTCTTCCCATTAATACCGAAGGGCTCAGTTTTCTTCCTGCATGTGGAATGGATATGTAACTGAGGATCATTTTTGGTAAATACGCTTCTATGCTTTCATTAAGTAGTGAGAATGCTTTTAATCCCATATTTACCGTTTGTACCTTTCTTTCAACAACGCCATTAGATTGTGGGTGATATGGTTATGTCTTGTATTGGATGCATCTAATCTGTTTTAACCACGCGCATAAGTTCTCATCGTAAAATTCAGGTGGATTGTCTGCGACTATTTTTGGGGGTAGAATATAGTTTTTAGTGCTTGCTTTATTGTGGTGGCTTTTTTGTCTTTTACTCTGACAACTTCTTGCCATCCTGAATATGAGTCCACTAATACTAAGAACAATCCCCTATCTGTGATATATGCGTGATCCATGTGGACCCTAACCCATGGATCTGCCTCCTTGGGCCATGAATGAATTTTTTTTTCCTTGTAGTTTTTTTTATTTCCGCATATTTTGGGCATCTCAATGTATTCCTCTACATCTTTTGAATATCCTGGCCACCAGGATTGTAACTTTAGTCTTCTTTGTGTTGATGTTATTCCACAGTGCACGTCATCATGTACTCCTTTTATAATGTCTCTTCTCAGTATTTGTGGAGCTACAATTATATCCCCATTGCATATTATGTCATTTTCTATGGTTAGTTTGTGCTTCGTTTCTTTAAAGTGTCGCTCTGCCATCAAACCGTTGTTCCATATATTATTTTTTATTCCCTCTACTATTCTGCTTAATATTGGATCTTGCTCTGTTTTAGTTTCAGTCTATTTAGAGGAAGAACATCCGTTTCTACGTAGTGTATTATTTTATCTTCAGTATTTTCCTGTTTTTATTCGGTTTCATTCTTGAACTGTAATCTTGATAAAGCGTCTACGTGAGGGATAGAAATCTTTTTTACATATACTATTTTTATTGCCTATCTATACATACACACACACACTCTCTCTCTCTCACACACACACACACACACACACATATATATATATATATATATATTTGAACGTTATTTCAATCCTTCATGAGCTTCCGATCCTTAGCTATGATTAATTAATTATGAACATGTTATTTTCGTTTATGATCGATTTCATCACAATTCTTCTGTTAAGCTTAGAGAGTAATTATATATTCTTATTGATCAATGTAGATAACAATAGTGTTATAAAAATCCCGGAGAACTCCAATAAGATATCTTTAATCATTTCTAAGATACAACGATTCAAAGCTTTATCTAACAATTAGACACTTTTGCTGACACACGGTATATGAATATTACGTTTCTTTTAATATGCTCTGTGTGTTTGGAATGATATGGAAGTTAGGATGCTTGTCTCCGTTGGTAGTTGCATAATTAAAAGAAAAAAAAACTTGTAGTTCCAACGAATGATTTATTTTATGGAAATATTTCGACTAGCAGTTGCCAGTCTGGGTCATTCCTTAATTTGAGCAAAAACAGTGCAAAGAAACTCGAAACGCTTAATAATTCAAATCAAGGAAAACAAACTGAGTTGATAATGTTTACAAGGTCATAGACAATTGAGGCGTAAAATAAAAAAGAATTTTTGTTTTTTTTTACTCTATAAATTGGGTTTTTTTTTTGTCAGATCATATTTTTCGTTGGAGCACAGATGTCGAGACAGGATGGAGTTGTGCTGCATCTATCTTATTGAAGACTTTGAAGGGATTGAAAACTTGGAGAAAAAGAGCAAACTTGCAGTGGGCAGAGGTGTAAATCGAACAAGATTTAAGAAGAATGAGCCGAAGTGTTAAGATGTTTGATTTTGAGGTAATCGATCGGTAAAATCCTCTACTAGTTTGAAATTTCATGGAGGTTTAAGTGAATATGAAACAATAACGACAGCGAAAGAAAAAAGGGAAAACAGTAAGAGAAAAAACGTGCAAGGTGAGGAGCTGAGATGAAGAGAACGAAAAGAAAACCCCACTTCGAAGAAAATTATGAAGGGAAATTAAAAAAAAGAAGAACTAATAGGCTTGATTAGTAAGAGAAAGAAAAGACGAGAAAGTGAAGAGACAGACAGGAAAAGAAGGAATAGAAGAAAGGTAAAAAGACAACGAGGAAGAAGTAGAAAAATATGAAGAAAAAGACAAAGAGGAAGAAAAAGAAAAAAGATGAAGAAAAAGACAAAAAGGGAGAAAAAGAAAAAGAGGAGAAATATGAAAAGACGGAAGAAAAAGAAAGACATGAAGAAAACGACAAAGAGCAAGAAAAAGTAAAAGAGGAAGAAAAAACAGGAAGAAAAAGACAAAAAGGAAATCAAAGAAAAAGACGAAGAAAAAAGATATGGCAACAAAGATGAGGACAATAGACCGAATAATATAAATAGTGAACATAATACCTCATCTCAGAAGTATAGACAGATAAGGAAAAAGTCATTGAGGAAGAAAAAGAAAAAGGGAAATAAAAAGAAAAAAAAAGAAAAAGAAATAAGGAAGAAAAAGACAAAGAGGAAGAAAATGAAAAGAGAAGAAGAAAAAACAAAGAGGAAGAAAAAGACGAAGTGGAAGAAAAAGAAAAAAAGGCAGAAAAAGAAGATGAAGAAAAAGACAAAGAAGGGAGAAAAAGAGGAAGAAAAAGTCAAAGAGGAAGAAAAAGACGGAGAAAAAAGAAAAAATAAAGAAAAAGAGGAAGAAGAGGATAAAAAGGAAGAAAAAGAAAAAAAGATGAAGAAAAACACAAAGAGGGAGTAAAAGAAAAAGAGGAAGAAAAAGAAAAGAGGAAGAAGAGGATAAAGAGAAAGAAAAGAAAAAGAGGAAGGAAAAGACAAAGACGAAGAAAAAAGACGAAAAAAGAAGAGGAAGAAAAAAAAGAGGAAGAAAAAGACAAAAAGGAAGAAATAGACAAAGACTAAGAAAAAGACGGAGAAAAAAGAAAAAAAATAAAGAAAAAAGAAAAAGAGGAAGAAGAGGATAAAGAAGAAGAAGGAAAAGAAAAATGAAAATGATGATCGGGAAGAAAACGTATAATAACAATAATGAATGAAAATGAAAATAACTTACTTTTTCCATTCGTTTTTCTATTTGCATTTTCTCCACTCAACAATCACAATAACATGAAGCTTGAATTAAAAAAAAAAAGAAGAAAAATGACCATCTGTTACAGTTGGCACCGTTCTGTCGCTTTTATTGTGTATAGAATCTGTATGTCACCTAATTTCTTTTTGCAGAAAAGACATTTAGATGTTATCAGAAATTCGATAGGACATCGAATTAGGGCGAAAGGGAAATCGAAGCGAGAAAAACGGAGAGATACGCGAATAAACAACTACGGCATACAGAAAAAAACCTATACACCCAATCGGAAAGGCACGTACGCACATATTTGCATAGGCACACACACACACACACACACACATACACGCATGCATTTACAAACTGTACATACTCATATTCATTTAAACAAATATATACACAGAATCCCATGTATAGATAGATATGAAAATTAAGATGGGAAAAGAAACAGATATGAACAGACACAGATAGCTAGAAAGATAGCTAGATAGCTAGCTAGATAGATAGATATTAACAGTATTAGATAGACACACACACACGCACACACACAGACACAGGCACACACACACACTTATATATATATATATATATATATATATATATATTTGTATCGAGTACTATTTTTAAAAAATAATAACAAAAATACTAAAAGAACTTTGGATTATTTACCTAACGAGTTCTTTCCTATTTTCTATATATTTTCACACACACACACACACACACACACACACACACACACACACACACACACACATATATATATATATATATATATATATATTGAGGCCTGATGATTGCGTTGAGTGTTGACGTCAGTGTTCACTTTTTATATACATACGCTCTATCTCTGATATTGAGCACTTTATCCCACAAATAAAGCATACCATAAAACTATATTTCTTCATATATATATATATATATATATATATATATATATATATATATATATATATATAAGAGAGAGAGAGAGAGATCGCCATCGATAGATTATATATATATATATATATATATATATATATATATATATAAAGAGAAAAAAGATTTGTGCAGTCAGTCTAGATATTAACAATCTCTGATAGATAAACACGCACAACAAACACACACACATACACACACATACACACACACACATATATATATATAGAGAGAGAGAGATAGATAGATTATATATATATAATCTATATATCTCTTTCTCTCTCTCTCTCTCTCTCTCTTTATATATATATATAGAGGCGACAGTCTGACGATTGAGGTCTGACTATTGCGTCCAGCATGAAGTGTTGACTTCAATGTTCACTTTTGTATTTATATTTACATACGCTCTATCTCTGATATTGAACACCTTATCCCATAAATATAGCACACCTTAAGAGTATATTTCTTCATATATATATATATATATAGAGACAGAGACCATAAATGACAGCAATATTCCATATTTATAGATTTAAAGTATGTTATAATTTATTTCACCAGAGATTTTATTTAGAAAAATGAAATCTCTGGTGAAATAAATTATAACGATGGAACCTTAAAGTGGTCTGTTTTTTCTTTAAATTAAATTAAATTGTCGAGGACCTCGAGACTTACAGCGGGTGGGGGGCGTTAATCAGACCATAAATGACAGCAATATTCCATGCAAGTACGGATGGTTGATTTACAGATTTATAGGATGGACTCAGACGAGAAAAAAAAACTTTCTGGCACGACACAGAGAACCAAATTTCCTTGCGGTGGATTAAGCTATTGAGTCTATGTATTTGTTCCACCTCATATCAGCGGACAACGTGAGACTAAGCAGGCGCAACGAGACGCTCTGAAGGTTTTGGGCATCAGCCATTCTGATGGGAGGCAAGGAGGGTTCTATGTGGTGAGTAAATGAGAGCAGTTTTTGGAGGCATTGAATTTTACAAGGCAATTCCTGCCCCAGTTAACCACAGATTGGAGGTTCTTTTCGAGACCGGGGCCAGGTTAATTTTGTCAACGATACCAGATTTACTATAGTCACAACGTTTCGCTCAGTGGATAAAGGCGTTGGTTAGATCCAGTGACTGGCTCCAAATAGTTACGAGTTCGAAGCTAGGCCACAGCAGTGGTGAGTCAAAACTTGGAGAGTTGAGTTAAAGGTAATAACTGAAACATCCGGAACATGAAACTAGAACAATCTACCCCAGTGGTCTAAATAAAGGGTTCGGTTCGAAATTCCAATCACCCGAAGAAGGCCGGAGCGTGCAACGACCGAAAAGCTGTGTGTATGACAATCATAATACTACTTTTGGGCGACTTTAGATTGACAGATATGAACAGTCATAGATAGATAGTTAGATAGATAAATAGATAGATAGACATATTTAACCAAACTGAGATAGATAGATAGATAGATAGATAGATAGATAGATAGATTGACATATATAACCGGACTGTTATAGATATGAATAGACTGCGATAGATATGAATAAACAGTGATAGGTAGATAGATAGATAGACAGACAGACAGACAGACAGACAAACTGACACTTTTGAAAAGACTGCTCGGTTTGAACTCTCTTACGGGCAGGAGGAACCCTACGGGGGAAAATAAAAAACCCCGTTTATGCGGGTTCAAATGGAGAGCTAATGGACGCCGAAGGGCGAGTCTCCTCGTGGGGGGGTGACTGAAATCGATGAACCCATATATAACTAGAAAATAGATTTATGCTAAGGGTTCAAATGGATAGATTGACATATTTTATGGCCGAATAGCCTAATGGAATAAACTCAGGTAGGATGAACAGACAGACAAAAAGGCCTTTTGAAAAGACTGCTTGGTTTGAACTCTCTTCCTACGGGCAGGGAGGAACCCGATGACGCCGAACCCTCGTGGGGGGGTGACTGAATATCGTTCAAATGGACAAACTGACATATATAACTAGACTGAAATAGATATGAATAGACTAAGATAGATATGAATAAACAGTTATAGATAGATAGATAGATAGATAGATAGATAGATAGATAGATAGATAGATAGACTTACAGTATGTTATTCTGACTGTTTTTAAAGAGATTTTCGAAGTGTTGAATTCGCATTTGAATTTATTCTTTTTGCCTTTGTTTCGATCTGGTGAACGGCTCAACTCTCAAGCGTATTGAAAAGATCACATGATGTGAGCGTGTATCGACCACATCTTGTGTTTGTGAATTGATATAATTTGATCTGTCTCTGATTATAAAAGAGTGTCAGAAATCTTTAAAGAAAGAATTGTTTTCAGAAGCGATTTACGGATAATGAAACCCGGCTATCACAGAAATTAATTACAGACAATCAGAGATCACATTTGAATATCATAGAGAATATCTGCTCCTATATTTAAAAAAAATATGTGAGATTGGAAGAATAGTGACATTTGTGGATGTAAGAAACATTGACTGCCTAAAGAACTCCCACGCTGCTTGTAAAAATGATTCCGCTATTTTGTTCAGTTTTCATTTGCACAATTGCTTTTATGAAAAATGAATCTAATTATTCTGGCTAATCATGTTTTTGCCTCCTAGTTTACCGAAAGACAAAATCTTAAGACAAAATGTTAAGGCAAAGCGAATAATTTAATTTAAAAAAATTTAAAAAAAACAGACTATTTTAAGCTTCCATTGTTATAATTTATTTCACCAGAGATTTTATTTATAAAAATAAAATCTCTGGTGAAATAAATTATATCGTTGGAACCTAAAAAGTGGTCTGTTTTTTCTTTAAATTAAATTATATATATATATATATATATATATATATATATATATATATATATATATATTATATAATTAATTGATTTAAAATATGGTTTTTTTCCGCTTTGCAGAAAAAAAAAAACATATTTTAAATCAATTAATTTATAATATTAATGCTCTGTAAATTTACATTGAGCACTATTTTGTAAAAATAAAATATCTATAAGAACACCGGATTTTATATCTTACTGTTCTTTCTTTTTTTATTTATATTATATATATATATATATATATATATATATATATCGGTTGAGAGAAATAAGGAAAATGCATTTAAAGGGGTTTAATATGATTAGTAAATCAGCATATATAGCCACCCACTGTGCTCATGTGAAGTTGAAAGACAGAAAAATTAGAAAGTGTGTCTCATGGCCAAAATCTTCGTTTTCCACAGATGCAAGAGGTCGTAGAAAGCGGACCTTACTTGATACATTGGTAGAAGATAATCATCACGTCGCCATTTTCATTCTTCCACTACTTAAAATTTGCTTTGAAAACAATTCATGGATAATGAACATCAAGTGACACAATCAAAACTGAAAACGTCTTTGTTTTTAAAGGAGAAATATGATTAAACATTTATTTAAAGATTAAATATAAGTCATCGATAAAGAAAGCGAATAGATAGGAGCGACTGAAGTCGTAATAGTTTCCTCTTTAACTGTAAATGGAAATTCAAAATAAACACTTTTCTATTTGCCTTTGTCTTATTTTCTTCTTCTTTTTTTGCGATCTATTTATATTTCTCTCTGTTGACATAATTTCTCTTCATCCATTAACTGCCAAATTTTTTAATGCGCATTTTTGGCCCAGACAGGTGTCTTAGGAGTTTATTTATTCATTATGTTTAATTTCAGTAGTTACCATTGTCCTTTTTATAGAAATTAGAATATCAAATATATATGTGTATAAAACATCAAAAAATAAAATTAATTAGAAATAATAAAAAAAATACATTTCAAAAGTCATTATTTCTCTACTCGTGAAATGTAAAACTACGACAGAAAGTGTCTTCTTACGGCTAATAATAAAAACTTTAAAGGCTAATTGTTGTAAAATATACCTCTGCAAATGAAATGTATGTAAGTAATTCAATCTAAATACAAGGAATAACATGTAGTGAGTTTTTAATAGATTCCCCAATGGGGCTCATGACAGGTAATGGGTTAAAAAGTAGGTAAACTTTTAAACGATTTACTCAATCAAGCGCACAACGTTTGCCTCTGTATATATAGTAATTTTCTATGCGTACAGTTGATTTGACACAAGGCTAAATGTACAGGGCATCTAGTGAGGATCGAACTCACTACTCAGTCATAATTGATCTAGCGATACAAGCTTGCTAGCTATTACAAAACGTCAAAATACCCTTGTAGCTGTATGTATGAGCATGTACAATATTATATTTATGTGTGCGTGCAAGAATGTAGTTTCGTTTATTTGTAATGCATTATTTTTTTAATCTCAAAAAGAACCTACAAAATGTCGATAGCATTTTACTTTAGTCACGGCAAACAAAATGGTGACAGCTTGTTAGTATATTCACTGTTTTCCTGTGTCTTTCAGCGTTGTCATTTCTCCCTATTGACATATGTGCTACGCTTATCTAATTAATGGGCATAAGGTGTCAACAAAGCCCAAAGAAAGTACCTGTCCTAAACAATTTAAAATAGTAGACAGTGCCACCAAGTGAAAGCCGCAATAAATAAATAAAAATAAATTGAACAAATACATATAAATATCTAAAGAATTAGTGATAGTTTAGTCATTGGCCTTTTATGATTTGGTCTGTCAAGAGAAAAATGAAAGAGAAAGAAGACAAGGGCATGGGTAATGTTGACCACAACAGAATGAAAGATGGAGGAAATACGAAAGATAGTTGACGGACGAAAACGAGAAAATTCAAAGCGAGGGAGTAGTCGAAAATGTTGACTTAATGAGACTTAGATTTTCAAATAAACTTTAGATTTCTGTTAATCACACATAAATTCATCGTCATCTCCTGGTTCGTTCCTTCCAGCCATCTCTGTTAGACATCCCTGTCAGCAGGTCATCCAGATGGCATCCAGAGTCATCTACAAGTTGGTCAATGTAATTGTGATGAGGTCTTCCAACATATCTTTTGGCACGCAACGGAATAAATTGCAGAGTGTCAATCACAAGTTCTGACTTACTTCTCCTGGAGTAACCAGCTAGCTGAAGCCTTCTCTCTCTCTCTTAACGAAACTGAGATAGGAGGGAGGTGTCCATGCAGGCGTTTCTTTGTTGGGTGTTTCTTCCAGATGAATAAAATGAAATACAAGCAGAAATTGCATAGGGAGTAAAAATTAAAATAAGAAAAATGTTAGATACACATTTTCTTCACCATGTACAAAGACGAAGAGCTACTCTGGGTAGAATAATTGTGAGTAAGAGACAATTTATAGGGATATGTGGGGAAGATAACAGTTAACTCTGGACTTGAATAGACTAAGATTATAGTGATAAGGAAGGGCATCTGCTTGGGAAACGTTTCCATAAAGCAGCAGTTCGTGAGAAGACGCCTCTCGAGTGGAACTTACATGTCACCAAAGGAACACTTTTTTTTAAATAGAAATAACGATAGATCAGCTCGTGGCTTCTGACATTTGGTCTGTGGGAAAGGGGTTGTAGGGTGGGAAATTATTCATTATCCACAAGGACGCGGAGATTTATTTTCAAAACGATAAAGACTGAAACTTCGTATTGAAGATTTGAATATATCTGATTGAAATATTTTTGCTTGACATCATATCATATAAAACACTTGTAAGCTCTTCGAGGACAATCAATGCTTTCACGACATTCATCAATATCCCATTCAGATACATTGTCAGAGTAAAAATAAAAATTCTTGTCACTCGTTTCAAAAGTGGTCAAGTATTCTTTCAAAAAGTGGGCGATCATGTCTCTCTACAACTTCCTATTATTTGTAGCAATGTTTTTTTTATTATCTCTACCCATCTCTGCTCCGCCGTTCATTTATACAAAGTCACTCGGTAGGTTACTCGCTGTTTCACCCTGACACTCCTGCGTTCATATTTCTTGTGTGTATCAAATTTTCCATGACTTCTTCGTCATTAAGCGTCCCAGAATTTTCAACTATTTCTTTCTGGTTCTAAGGATAAGCGACCTTCTTGTGGCCAATTGAGATTAGATTCAAGGTACCTTCACGAAAACGCTAAGTAATCAGCATACCCTGATTAAAATAGGCTTCAAGCGTAATGAAAACATTGTTTTAGCGTGAAAATCGTTATGTTACTATTAAGAAGAAGAATCAAAGGAATTTTTGAACATGTAATTAATTTTTTTTCCTTCTTTTTAGAACATTAGAAATTTTGATTAAAAACTTGTTTTTTCTTGCATCAGCGGTTGTATTAACTTTTAGCATAGCAAATTTTAGCCTCGTTTTGCGCTGACAGACATATTAATTTGAAAATTCTTGCAAAAATCAAATAATCGTCACATTTTAATGAAATTTGCAAGACTTATTTATGTATTAATGCAATTAATTTTAATTTTTTTTATGAGAAAGTATTGGTAATTTTTTTTACATTTGTTTCAGTTTCTTACCTAATGTTATGAAAACGAGAAATTCAACAAGATAAGTTTTAGTGACTATTAATTAAAAGCAGAATTCTTTGAAGAATTTAAATCACTGAATTTTATTTGCAAAATCGGTCACGGTCTTACTGAAAATCTGATTTGAAGCGAAAAATAAAAACGCAATAAAAATAAAATATTATTGAATTAGAGAAACTTTTAATTGCTTTTACGAATAATACATATTAAAGACAATAGAAAAATAAATTTCGATGAAAAATGATACTTTAAAAGATTTGTTTTCATAATTTTACAATTTTAAATCTTTTAAAATTCCTTTTTGAATGTGATAATTCTTAGAAAATATTGCTATTAAGTAAAAGTATATTTATTAGTCATATATTGTAAACTTATTATAATCTAACAACTCCGAATACTTAAAAAAATCGAATCATTTTTGTATATGTGGTTACGTGCAGAATTTCTGTAGTATGGATGTACAAACCGAAAAAATACTAACATTCAAAGTTATTTGTTGTAAGGGTTGTCCCCCATTTCTGCTCCACCATAGCTAACTATGAACACGTTCGGCTGTAGGAGGAATAAAAAGACTACAAAATATATAGATTTAATAGGCCGGTTAATTGAATTTGAGGAATAAAAAGACCACAAAATTATAATGATGTTGGCAATATGATTGATGTTATTTATTGTATATTAGCATTTTGAGTAAATTCAAGCACGAAGAGAAAAAAATTATTTTCTGTATTTTCGAACATGTCTGTGTCCTTTTTCAACGAGACAATGAATAAACAAAGAAGTGGGACTCACTCTTCCAGGTAATGTTTTTGGTGTTCTGCTTCAGCCTTCTGTGGAAACTATATTATCTGTGTTAATCCAAATCCCTCTTTAATCGTATAATGTGTGATTTCATTTTGAAAGTATATTTTAACTTTGATCTACATCTTTCTTGCCGACTGTTATATGATGACGTTAAAAGCACGCATCTGATGTCCTCAATGCTATTGAACGCTTGGTTGAAGTGCACAGAAACACTTTTCTTCTTGTCTTTAATGTTTTTTTTTATGGTTATTGAACCGACGACGGAATTCCGTGCCTGTTTCTTCGCCATATTTTCCTTTTTTGCATTTATGACAGAAAAGTAAATATTTGAATATTGTGTGAGTGTCGGGATGTGGGTGAAATTGCTATCTGAGGAAATATTTTCAGAACTGGCATAGGGGTTTATTGCATGTGATATTCCCCTTGGTAAGGTGGTGTGTTATGCATGCTAGATAATGTTAGGAGTGTGTATAGTTTTGGGATATATATATATATATATAATTGTTATTATTATTATCATTATCATTATTTCATTTGATTTCTGTTGTATAAACATTTAATTTTGGGCCTCAAGCAGAAACATAAGATCAGAAATGAGTTCATGTCATTTTACGCTGATCATTTTTATGAAAAATAAAAACAAAGATCACCAAAAATTTTTATAAATGAAGCTCTTCATATTGAACGAAAATATACCTAGACATAGACAATGGAACAAGTACATTTAACCTCTGTAGATTAAATAAAGGTTCAAGTTAGGAATACCGTCTTGGTTACAAAGATCGATATAGACCTGATGAAGGCCGGAAAGAACAAAAAGACGTCGAAAATAGTCCTGCATGTAAATTGTGTAAATAATAATTAATTATAATATATATATATATATATATATATATATATATATATATATATATATATATATATATATATATATACACACAAATGAGAGAAAGAACAGATGAAGTAAAATTCCACTGTTCGTAGCATTTACTTTTAAAAAATGTTCAATACAAAGCAGAGCTAAATAATATTATTATATTTTTATTATAAGAGATTATAATGAAATCATATTCTGAAATTGTCTATGATGGCCTGTCTATGTTTCGGTTTATCATGGCATGAAAACATAAGTCACCCCACCTCCACCCTCTTAGCTTACTTTTCTACTTAGCATAGATCTGACATTTAATTGGTTAATCAAGACATACCCACAAGTCCATTTTTAATTCTGACCTAATGTTCCCACATTTAAAATTTCGAAAAAGTGGTAACAATTTGTTTTTAAATTTACTTAAAATTATTTAATCACCAGTTACTTACCATCCAGAAGAACAATCAAAATATTGAAAAAGGAAAGCTTTTGTGTAGCGATTTCAAAATGTTTTTATTATAATCTATTATAGCAATAATAATAATAACAATAATATTAATATATAATAATAACAATAATAATAACAATAATAATAATAATTATATATATATATATATATATATATATAAACATTGTTTTAGGATATTACATCAAAAAACATGTTAAAATCGTTACACAATTGCAGTCGTGTTTCAATGTGCAGCGAATGGCATGTTTTCCAAGTAATATCCTAAAATAAAGAATATTATTTCTCTACTTTGTATTGAGCACATTTTTGAATTAAATGTTACTCTATTCGTTCTCATCTTACCTTGATACATACGTACACGAACACACACAGACACACACACACACACACATATATATATATATATATATATATATATATATATATATATATAAATCATTACTCTTACATGATTACAGCCTACAGAGAAACGGAAGTGATATCGGGGATCTGTTTTGAAGAATCAATATATTATACTTAGAAAGCTCCATAGAGAAATGGTTAAGCACAGGTCTTGCAGATCAAAGCTCATGAGATGAGTTTAATCCTTATTGTGTAATTCCTACTTGCGCTGGTCTCAGATAAGATTAATAGATAACAATCATGCAGCGTGGAACAAATGCAGCAGAATAGTCACGCGTATGACATTGTTATTTTAATAAATTCAATCTTACCTGGGTACCCCTCACTGTATTAAACCAACTTAATAAATATCTCTATATAAGATTCAGTGGGTAATATTAATTCAGTCACATAAACATATAGAAATACATAGAGGCACACATGAACAGCAGACATATACAGAACGCGCATAAGTATTCAACCGTAGAATTTCCAATATGGTAAATTTCTAATAACTGCCAGTATTTAAGTAGATGTCTCGCATCATGTTTTCCACAGATGAAAAACCGGCCTTTTGAAGACAAATTCATCTCATCAGATTAAGATCTTATTCTCGCTTGAAATTGCCAGATTATTTTTGTGTCCACCAAGAATCTGTCACCTAGAGAGAAAATCGATTTCGATGCTCTAAAGTTTTCAAGCTTCTATCAGGTCATCCCATGTTCTGTCCGAATTTTACCTGTCCGAAATTTAAAGTGTATTTTATAATGTCTAATGGAGCTGAACATTATTTTTATGTTTAAATGCATTTAAACTGATCAAATTTTATTTCAGAGAACAATAAAATTAAATTTTGTTTGTTTAAAATCCTGCTAACATGGAAGTACCCAAGAATCATTTGAGGCACATAATGCTTTATGAGTTCAAGAAAGGAAACTCAGCAGCCGAAGCGGCTAGAAACATTCACTCAGTTTATGGAGAGGAATGTGTGAATGAAAGAACTTGCAGAAGATGGTTTGCAAAATTCAGAGGTGGAGATTTCACCCTTGAAGATGAAGATCGAACCGGACGTCCAGTTGAGTTTGATGAAAAGCTTCTTGAAGCAGCCCTTGAAGAAAATCCTGCTTTATCAGTTGAGGAATTGGCAGTGGTTCTCAGTTCAAATCATACAACTGTTCATCGTCATCTTCAACAACTTGGAAAAGTTCCTAAACTTGGAAAATGGGTGCCTCATGAATTGTCTGAAAACAACCTCAAATCCCGAGTTGACATCTGCTCTTCTCTCCATTCTCGCCAACTTGTTTCACTTTTTTTGGATAGACTTGTGACTGGCGATGAAAAATGGAACTTTTATCGAAATGTTAAGCGTCGTAGACAGTGGCTTGGTAAAGAGGAATGACCCCAGCCACAGCCAAGAAGGGAACTTCATGGGAAAAAGGTTCTTCTTTCAATCTGGTGGGATCGCCAAGGAATAATCCACTTTGAATTCTTACCACCTAATGCAACAATTATTGCTCAAATATACTGTCAGCAATTAGAGCGTTCGAACCAAGCTTTGAGAAAAAAAGAGCTGCTCTAGGGAATCGAAAAGGGGTGATGTTTCATCAGGACAATGCGCGACCCCACACAGCAAGGATCACGTCACAAAAGATCAAAGAACTTGGTTAGGAGAAAATTCCTCATCCACCTTATTCTCCCGATCTTGCTCCTTCAGACTACCATTTGTTTCGTAGCTTACAGAATCATTTGGAAGGAACATCTTTTGAAACACAGGGAGAGGTTAAGACTGACATTTGTGAGTTCCTTGAATCAAAGCCAAAAGAATTTTACAGTAATGGAATTAGTAATCTTGTTAATAGATGGAAGGAAGTCATAGATAATCGGGGGAAATACATTGTTGATTGAATCTGTAATTAAATGTAACATTTGGTCACTTGTTTTCTTTATTCAAAATTCGGACAGAACTTATGGGATGACCTGATATATTAAGAGGTCTGAATTCTGTTATGTTACATAAAAAACCGTCATTCGAACTCTTCCAATCACTGCCAATTCCTCTAGCCTTTTTTTTTCGAACGATTTTCTTCGGAACTATTCCCGGTACATCAATAACGATTGACGCGATTTTCATCTATGGTTTCCCAGAAGAGCGATATCTCTTTTCTGACAGGATCTCAGTCATTTGCTTACGGCTACCACATCAAGATTGGGGGATCTGTTTGAAGCCCAAACTCCCAGAGTATTTTATGAGTTTTGTTTTCTTTCACACCCACTTTGAGATTTACCGGAACATAGATATCTCCTCTCTGACACTTTCACATTATTTTGCTCACGGCTACAACATCAAGATGGGGATATCCGTTTGAAGAGCAAACTCTGAGAGAAATTTATGTTTCGTTTTCTTTCACATCCACTTTGAGGTTTACCTGAAGAGCGATATCGCCTCTCTGATACGTTCTCATTCATTTGCTTACGACTACCACATTAAGATTGGGGGATCTGTTTGTAGCCCCAAATCCCGGAGAATCTTATGTGTTTTCTTTTCTTTCGCATCCATTTTGAGGTTTACCTGAAGAGCGATATCTGCTTTCTGACACTTTCACATTACTTTGCTTACGGCTACCATATCAAGACTGGGGGATTCGTTTGAAGCTCAAGCTCCCAGAGAATGTTATGTGTTTTATTTTGTTTTCTCCTTCACTTTACCGGAACAGCGATACCTCCTCTCTGATACGTTTTTATTCCTTTGCTTACGGCTGCCATAACCCGATTGGGGAATCCGTTTGAAGATCTAACTCCCCGAGAGTTTTTACTTTTGGAAAGAAATTATTTTGCACATAAATCATTGGTATGCATGCTCAAAATTAAGCTGCATTTTTCATCTCCTTTGCTTTAATTTTCTCACCAGGTCATGTCTACTTTTGTCGTTGATGATTTTGCAGTTCAGTTTTTCATCTTTATTTTGAAAGTGTAATTTGCCGTTTTTTTCTGTATTTCATTAATCCTAGTCTTCATTGAATTTTTAGGTATTTATTTGGTTTGTATTAATAGCAATCCGAACTTTAGATGGTTACAAGCACACCACATTAGAACAAAGGTTCCCTTACGATCACCGAAGTTAAGCATTGTTGAACCTGATCAGTACCTAGATAGGTGATCGCTTGGGAATATCAGTTGATGAAAAGTTGAGTGTTTGTGTCGAGTGATGGATAATATGTCGGAATTTTTAATCGGAGAGCCGATTTCCAATTCCAGTTGATTTCATTATATACGCTTACGCGTAAATATCCTTGGCAAATGTATGGATCCACGTCTTTTCCCGGGTTTAGTATTAAAATTGTATCAATAAAACCATTATTACCTCAAAAGAAATAAAATTGCGCAGAAATAAGCGTATTAATGTGTCGCTAAACATAAAACACCCAAACCTCTTTTAAAATTTATTTTAGATGATTTGATTATAAATATATCCGAAAGATAAAGACGATAGAAAAAAGTTAAATCAATTTAGTTTCATTTTACTATCTTACATGGCACAGTGGATAAAGGCGTTGGTTAGATCCAGTGACAGGACCCAAAGAGTGTGAGTTCAATACTCGCTTAAGGCAGTGGATAACTTTCAGAGGGAAAATTAATAGGAGATAACTGATAACTGGCATCTATTAAACATGGCACGTGGAACTAGAACAGTCTACCCCATTGTTCGAAATAAAGGGTTCAGTTCGATATTCCAACCACCTGAAGAAGGCCGGCGCGTACAACGGCCGAAACGTTGTAATAAATATGGCGACAAAGATGAGGACAATAGTCCGAATAATGTAAATAATACCTCATCTCAGAAATATAGACAGACTCTGTCTTCGATCTTTTGTTCATCGGTGTTAACATCTTTACACTTAACACTCGAGATAATTTTACTTGGTAATATTTACATAAACTTATGAATTTTCTTGCTTCCAAGTATTTTGGCAATGTTCTTATTATTTTATTTTTTTCTATATGCAACGCAAAGTTGTTGCGACTCAGTCCAAATTATTTGTTGATTCTTGGCGTTGTATTTTCATCGATGAATAAGTACAATATTTTGTTTTTCTTTTGGAGTTATATATTGAAAGGTTCACAGTGGTTTAAGTAAATTCCACAAAAAAAATATTTCAGTATCAGTATTTCTACATAGATTTCTTTTCAAACTCATCTATATAATCCTGTACTAATATCTATCGTCATATTTTTAATGTTTACATCCTCCCAGAACTTGGCATTTTTCTTGGCGATGAACTCGTAGAAGTGGTTTTTAAAGGAATCCTGATAATTACTGAAGCTCTTTCTATTAAGAGGATATTGTAGGGATCGAAATAAGCAGTACATCGAAGTTGCCAGGTCAATCGAATACTGCGGACATCCCAACTAAGCTGTACAAATTTCTCTTGCATTTGCAAATAGAAGTGGGGTCTGGCATTGTCCCGTTGGAAGATGGCATTCCTCCGATAGGCCATTCCCGTGTGCTTTTCACCGACTGCGGTTATTAATCGGCTCAAATCAGAAATAGTCTGAATTCATCGTCTGATTTTGCAGAAAGATTACGTGATACACAATTCCTCATGTTATCACACCGGATGCAAAGCATTATTTTCATTGAATGCAGAATAACTTGTGCAGTGGTTAACAGTGGTTAATTCCGTTTTTCTCGTGTCCTTTTACGCTGCACATTCTTGTAAACAATCAACTTTCCATCACCTGTAATCCTTCTTTTCAAAAAATAAGTGACTTTTGTTGCGTTAATTTCGTTTTTCTCAGATCCTTTTACGCTCCACGTTGTTGTAAACAATCAACATTCCGTCACCTGTAAACCTTCTTTTAAAAAATGAGTGACCTTTGTTGCGTTTTAAATCTACAATATGCAGATGTAAATACGGTCAACTAAATTCTATCCGAGCTGCGAGAACATTTCTATATTCCAGAGTCAAATTTCTAGTTCTGAATCTAGTGAACCACTCATCAAACACAGTTCTAGAACTCTATCTGTCTGTTTCGCATTTACTTCCTTTTCAGACATAAAAGATAATCAATGCAATAAATCAATCTAAAAATTGCATTCCTTTTTCCTCCTTTTTCACTTTTAATGCAAAAATATGCAAAATTCCCTATCCACGCTCGAATCGTACGGAAATACGTATTGAAATATCCCCCCTTTAAGACATGGGCTCATCCTTTTCAGTCACGTATGAAACAAAGCCACGTGTCCATTATCACCTACTGGAAAATAACTTTTGTTTCAACCTGTTTGGTTGTTTTTCTTTTTCATTCAACATGAAATCCTTATGTATCTGAACTTAACAAATAAGTATCAGTGCCTATGCTTATATATATATATATATATATATATATATATATATATATATATATATATATATATATATATATATATATATATATATATATATATATATATAATATATATATATATATATATATATATATATATATATATATATATATATATATATATATATATATATATATATATATATATATATATATATATAGGTAGAGCTAAATGTCCAGGACAGAGTAAGAATATAATAAAAAGGCTCAAACACTAGTATTCCATGGTCATAATTTATTACATTGAAATCGTAATCACGATCCAATCCATATATCTGCTATCTATCTATCTATATATATATATTATGACGAACAAAACTTGTGTTTCACATCGCTTTCCAATGTACTGATGACGAAGGGTGGGGGATTATGTCGACGACATATGCATTCATAGTTGGGATAAGAATGATCTTGAACACAAAATCGACATCGTCTATCAAGTATTCAAAGAAACAAAAACTATGATCTAGAATTGGAATGAAAGCAATAATGGCACATACTCTGAATCCATCATAAAATATCTGGGATATGCAATTAGTAAATACCTCTGTGTATGGATCAGTGCGGCTCTTCTTAATTTAGTAACAGAGATAAAGAAAATTGAACATAGAATAGGATGTGTTCGCGTATTTTTTTCGTCCTTTTTTGACTAGAACAAAATCTATTACCCCAAGGACTGTTATGGTCTTCATGGCTCAAATTCCCTCAGTTTATATTTCAAATTGTTTTTTATTAATTATTATTATTATTATTGCTTCCATTTAAATTGTTTCTTTTATAATTCCTTAATTTTTTACCATTTTTTTTTCATTCTTCTGTTTTTGTTCTGTATTGTGATCGTTATACAAAATGATATCTTTGGCATCTTATCTGCTGACTGATCAGTTCTCACTGCTTTTCGATCAGCCGTTGTTTTGTACGACTGGACCCACCACAAAAACTGTAATTTCCATTAAGATCATACTAATTGAAGAAGTTCTTTTCACCCACACAAATGATGTGGTTTCCAAGCTTTTAAATAACATCGAAATTCGAAATAATTAAATCCGTTGCATAATTACTCCTTCTAATGTATTGAAATATGCGAGGGTTCATTTCGTTTTCCTGTAAATTGCCAAACCCCCAGAGAATATTAGCACTATATTTTTTCATATCAACTCTAACATACAGAGAAAAATATTTCAACGTTTTAGGACATTTCTCTCATTTTCTTTACAAACATGATTTTCTAGAAGGAAAAAAAATAATGATATTTATCTTAAAATGTGAAAAGCTGTTTGGCCCAAGGAGCAGTTATTTTGAGTTATAAATTGAAATGTAATTTGTTGTAAGTGGCTTGCAACCGAGGAAGCTTAAACAGTTCCTTGTGACGAGAATCAAAGATTATCATTATAGAAAACGTATAAAAGAAAAATGAAAAAACGAAATGAAGCTAAAAAAGGGAATTGAAGAAAAAAGGGCGACTTTTAAATTCGTTGTCGTTCAGTTTAAAGGAAACAGAATAAGAAATCTTATAGACTTTAAAACATATAAATAGGTTTTAGTTCATGTTCAGTTATATAGTCTTTTTTTTTCATCAGCATTATCATCAGTCCCATGACAGGGTGTGATTGTATTGTTCTTATGCAGCTGAGCACCAGATCAATTCCATCGATATATCTAGGTTGAAAACAGGAGACGTATTGATTCATGCCTAACATGTTTTCGGCAAGTAAACGTGGAGGAGACCATCTCTCACCAGATCAAAGCACAACCCCGATGTATTCTGACTTGAAGTCTCGCCTTGCTTATAGATAAATGACTGTTGCTTTCAACAGAGGAATACTGCACCCTGGCCGTTGACTTCATTCTAGGAAGCCCGCCACCCAGCGACGCTGTCTCATCGAACCCACTGGTTGTACATATTGCTATGAACCCCAGAATGAATTCCATTGCTCTAAATAACGACTAACTTTACAAAAAGATTCATGCGTCTCTTAAGAGGGTCTTGGTTTTAATTCTGCTGTTTGTTTAGGCACCATTCTCACCAGATAAAACTGATATATTAACTGGCTTAGTTTACCAATGGTCCGACCATGCGGCAAGTTGAACTGGATTACATGGTACCAATAATAATCATTTCTACAGTTGAACGCGCAACAGATTTTGAGGTAATTTTTATTTGCAGTACATCAAAATGAAGTAGAAAAATGTAACTAACATTACTTTAGTATACACATTATATTATTATCATTATTAGTAACATTACAGTAGTATGCACATTACATTTGTATCATTATTAGTAACATTACATTAGTATAAATATTACATTAATACCATAATTAGTAACATTACATTAGTATACACATTGTATTAGTATCATTATTAGTAAGATTGAATTAGTATAGACTTTATATTAGTATCATTATTAATACGATTAAATTAGTATACACATTAGTATCAATATTAGTAACATTACATTAGTATACACATTACATAACTATCATTATTGTAACATTGCATTAGTATATATATTGTATTAGTATCATTATTAGTACGATTAAATTAGTATAAACATTACATTAGCATCATTATTAATAAGATTAAATTAGTATGCGCATTATTATTAATATTAGTAACATTACATTAGTATACACATTGCATTTGTATCATTATTAGTAACATTACATTTGTATACATCAAAATGAAGCAGAAAATGTAACTAACATTACATTTGTAAATACATTATATTAGTATCATTATTAGTAACATTACAGTAGTATGCACATTACATTTCTATCATTATTAGTAACATT